AGCCTAGGAGTGTGAGGTTGCTGTGAGCTAGGATGACACCACGGCACTCACTCTAGCCCGGGCAAAAGAGTGAGACTCTGTCTCAAAAAAAAAAACAAAACAAAAAAAAAACTGCTCCACCGCCGCGCTGCAGCAGGCCAGTTCCTGCCATGTCGAACACCTGCTGGGGCCTGGCGCCCCCCGAAGCTCCTCCTTGTGGGTGTTCACCGTCCCCTGGGGGAACCCGGGCCAGCCCTGGGCAGGCCGAGAGGCCCCCGTCCTCCCCATCCATGTTCTTGGGGTGCGTGGCATCCCCGCTTTGGGGCCCAGCTGGCAGCACCGCACCCAGGTCTGCGTCTGCTCCCTCTGGGACGCGCTTCAGGCCGTGCGAAGGTCATTTCAGCCAAATGAGTCAAGGCTGGGACCTGACCCATGAGCTCAGGAAACAGTCCCCCTTCTGCGTGGCTGCGGCCCAGGTGGGTGGGCAGGGCCGCGGTGGGGGCGAAAGGTGGAACATCCCAGGCCTCGCCAGGTGGGAATGTGGCCAAGGTGAGGGAACTTTATTCCACTGGCGAAGGGAGCCTCTGATGGTTTGGGGGGACAAGATGACAACCCCAAGTGTGATCCCCGTGCGTCAAAGAGTAAATTTAACATGTGGGTCTGTGTTTCTGACGTGCTTGCAGCTACGTCAGTTCAGATAACCTCCGGGTGAGCTCGGTCGAGGAGCAGTTCCAGGAGGCCTTTGTGTCCATCAACCACCTCTTGCCAGACGACAAGGTGACGGCCTTGCACCACGCCGTGTATGCGAGGTGAGTCGCCAGGCCACGCCGCCGTCTGCCCTGGTGTGGGTCACCTGCTGGATTTGCGAGGCCGCGTGCAGCTCCACGCGGGCTCGAGGGGCATAGGCATAGGAGTGTCATCTCAGGACACAGGGCAGTTGGCTGCCCTGGTTAGATGGGCAGATGCCCCAGGTGGGGGCTCGAGAACCTGCCCCCAACCCGGGCAAGTGTGGCCGGACGGGGAAAAGGAAGGAGCTCGGGTAGCAGAGGGACCGTGCTGCACGTGGTAAGTGTGGTCTTGCTGCAGGCGCCCCAGGATGTCTGGGGAGCGGAAGCAGCAAGCAGATGGGAGGGCGGGAAAGAGAAACGGAAATTAAGAAAAGTTTATTCTCCTTGTTTACTAAGTACTTTAACATTCATCCTTCATGTTACACGTTTCCCCCCACAACTCAGGGGGAGGGTAAAACCAGGTGTCTTCAAATAGCAGTCAGGCACCTGAGGCTGGGCGGGCTCCGCTGCCGAGCGCGGGCCGAGGAGGGAGCAGGTGCTCCAGTGCCCTAGTCTCTTCCTGACACCTGGGCCCGCAGCCAGAGATGTGTGTTCTCTGCTCTGGAAACGGGGAATGGACAAGCACGGGCAGTCCACGGGAATGGGACCACGGGCAGTCGGGGGGCACAGCTCGCCCTGTCTGGAGACACGAGCTTTCTCCTGCATGATGCGGCTGAGGCTCTAAAGGCAGAAAAAGTTACAAAGATCTGGGGACCGCTTTCCCTTCACTGAGAACAGCGCAGGCCCCGTCCCCACCCGCGTGGGGGAGGAGGGAGCGTGTGTCATTCTGGGGCGATCACACTTTGCTGCCCCCGGAGGCGTCTTCTGGGAGGTGTGGGGGTGAGTCCAGGCTGTGGGACCCTGGAGAGCCTGCCACACCGTCCCCTGGGCACTCTGTGTCCCCCAGGGGCCAGGATGTGAAGGAGACTGGGGTGAATCTGGCGTGCGTTGACACCGGTATGTGTTTGTACGTCTCCTCATGCCCTTTCATCATTGGCTGGATAGAGCTTAGAAATGCGGGACAGTCGCTCACACACACCACCGGTCCAGTGTGTCACACGATGATGTGGCCTCGCTCCCATGGTTTGCTCTGTTTTTCGCATAGACTGTAATTGTTATCAGTGTTGCAGCATAGGGAGAAGAGAGCTTATTTTTTCTTTACCCCAAGGTTAGGTAAAACAAGAGTGTTTGTTCCCCAGGCCTCAGCTATTTCTCATGGAGCCTGCTTTTTTCCACTTTAGGGAGGGATGTGCCTCGGGTCACGTGGTTACCGTGAAGTGCACAGGTAAGAGTTTTAGAGACGCAGAGATCAAACGCCCAGCCTCCTGCTCCCCGCCCCACCGCCTCCGAGGACTGCCCTGAGTCCCTCCCTCCTGGGTGCTGGTCGGGAACTCTGTGCACCCCCACCTGACAGAGGAGGGGAGCAGTGTCAGCCCCACCTGTCAGGTGAGGGAGGCGGCTAGGGGTGACTTCTTAGCAGCATATGGGACCGAGGTCCGTGATGTCCTGTCACTCCATCACTTTCTCCTGAAGTGTGTGCAGGCCCCAGGCCTGGGGACAGCACCCGTTGTTCCTGGCTGAGGGGACAGTCCACGTGGCAAGGTCGGGTCTGGAGAAGTCAGGGAGGTGCTTGCTGGCACCTGCGGTAGTGAGGCGGGGGCAGCTCCTCTGGGGATTGGCTGACGTCCCTGTGTGCTGTCATCACCGGGAAAGGGGCTGGGCCGCTGTCAGTGCCGGCACTGCTGACCAGGCAGGTGGGCTCTTTGCTCTGATGGGCTCTTCCCACTGCACCCCCCGCAGCACCCGCCTGTCCTCAAGCCCCGCCTGGAGCCTGTGCCACCTCTCACCCTGGGGGCCCCGTTGCAGTGCTCGCCTTAGAACTGCCGAGAGCTCTGGGCAGGTAGCAGTGACATTGGGGAGAGAGAAGCAGGTCCCAGAAAAATCTGCGGGGTCCACCTGCAAGCCCTCGTTCTCCCTCCACAGCCTGTGGTCTGAGAATGGGCTACAGCTCGCGCATCGTCGGCGGAAACACGTCCACGCTGGCGCAGTGGCCCTGGCAGGTCAGCCTCCAGTTCCAGGGCTACCACCTGTGCGGGGGCTCTGTCATCGCCCCGCTGTGGGTCGTCACTGCTGCACACTGTGTTTACGAGTGAGTGCCCCGCCCCTCTAGGTGTGTCTCCTCGTCTCCCAGGTCCGGGCCGCTCCTGGGCCACGTGAGGGTGTGGCCAGTGTGGGCGGTGAGGGCAGCTGCAGGAACAGGCAGACGCAGCACCACCAGGTTAGGCCAGGTGGACAGCCCCTCTCTGCTCACTGCACACCCGTCACCATCGGCTCGTGGGGACTGCTGGCCCCGAGCCCATTTAGGGATTTTAGACCTGTGGCTCATACAGAAAAGTGTGGACTAAAGGAAAAAAAAATCAAGCTTTTGAAGAATTAAAGTTGGTTTTATTCAGCATCTGACTGAGAAGCACAGCCTGGGAGGAAGCTTTCAGAGCGGTTCTGCCGCACTGCTCTGACGCGGGGTCCGGCTCAGGGCTACACGGGCTGTGGCGCCTCGGCATGTTCAAATCACGTCCAAGCGTGGGTGTGAGCCCACGTCTGGCTGTAGGTCACCAAAGTACACCTGGTTGTACGTTGCAGAAGCATAGTCACTAACCCCGCCAGACACTATCCTCTGTGCAGGAAAAGGTAAGATTGGGATTAGTTATGATCCAGGCAAGAGACGTGGGGGCAGGTGCTCTGTCCCGTTCTGTGTCCAGAGAGCTGCACGGGTCGCAGACGGGATTTGTGAAACGATGCCGGCAGGCAGGAATGAACGCACTGGCTTCTTAGGTGGCTACTTTGTCTCCCACAAGGTAGAAAGAGGAGGGAGGAAGCCCCCCAAATAAAAGGCCCGACCCTCTTGCAGCTAATTGCGGTGGACCCTGCCATGGCTGAGACAGGACGAGCCGGGGCAGGGTGGGTGGGGGCTACAGGGTCTCTGGTGGGGCGCCAGGCCTCTTCTTACACTCGCAGGAGCGTAGAGCATTGGAAAACGCGGGGAAGGTTCCCAAACACAGCGCTTGTCCCGTTATTTTTACCTCCTGTTTGGGTCGCTGCTGGGGGAGAACAGGCCCTGACAGAGCCCCGCAGCGAGCAAAGCTGAGTGTGGGTCTCCAATGCCCAGAGGACCCCCGAGGGGCCGGGTGGGGCCTGTCTGGGAGACACGGTGGGTCTGTGTTTCTGCAGGGTGTGGGAGCCGCAGTCGGCGTCCGGCGTGAATAGGCCAGGCAGGGGCGCTGTCTCCCCGGCTCCCGGACGCCTGGGTGAGTGGGGTAACGGTGGGGTCCCTGTGCTTACCTCCTGCTCCTCTCGCTGCAGCCTGTACCTCCCCAAGTTCTGGAGCATCCAGGTGGGCCTCGTGTCCTTGCTGGACAGCCCGGCCCCCTCCCATCTGGTGGAGAAGATCGTCTACCACAGCAAGTACAAGCCGAAGAGGCTGGGCAACGACATCGCCCTCATGAAGCTGGCTGGGCCGCTCACGTTCGATGGTACGTCTGGGCTTCCGGGTGGTTCTGTTGCTCTCCGTTCGTTTTCAGAGAATTGGTAGTTGCTAGTGGAAGCATTTTTATGACGCCTGCTTTATAATCCTTGTGGGATGATTCCGACATCTGCTTCGCGTTGGTGCCGGTTGATTATCTTTTCTCGTTGAACTTGTCACTTTCCGGGTTCTTGAATGATAAGTAATTCTCCCTTGTGTCCTGGACAATTTGGTTATGGTGTTAGTAGATGCAGAGTCTTATATAAATTGCCAATGCTAGCAGGTAGTGGCTCTGCTTGGATTGAGTTTGTAGATCCTGGCCCACTTCTAGCGCTAATTTAATTTTAGAGCCTTTGGGGTTCTACTTTGGTTATGTGCCACCTCCTTCCTGCTCGTGCCACCTGGAGGCAGAGCTTCCCTTCCTGGTGCCTCTAGGTGGGGGAAGAGAGTCACCTGTCCGTAGGGGCCAGAGCACTTTCCTGTCCAGGGGCATGTTGTGGCGGGGCCCTGCCAGCGCCACCCACCTGCTGGTGCCTCCAGGTGGAGGGCAGAGTCCCTGTCCCCTTGGTGGTGGCCATATCCTCCCATTCCGTACGCCACGGCTCCCTGGAAGTGCTTGAGAAAGTCTTTCCCTGCCAGGGCTGTGCTCAGCAGGCTCCAGACAGCCTTGTTCTTGGAAAAGCCAAGTCCTGTTCTCTGGATGTTGCGAAGCCAGCAGAAAGCCACATGGCACGGCACCTTCGAACACTTCGTAGATGCAGACAGGGCATCACGAGCCTGCTCTTCAACAAATAGGGTCCTTTTCCTTCCTGAGGAAGGCAGGCGGCTTGGAGAGCGGCAGGCATGATAAACACGGTGAATTGTCCTCTTACTGGAGCAGGGTCCTGGCAGGAGACCAGCCGCGCAGGCACCGCCTGGCAGAGTCATCGGGGAGTTTATCACACGGCACACGTAATACTCGGACACATGTATTTCCAGAGAAACAGAAAGGAATTGTTGTGGTCGTGCTCGTTTGCTAACTATTATTAATGATATTTGGTTATAGGAGATGCAGTGCCAGCATTTGTACTTTGACAAAAATCATAATAATGAGCTCTTTTGTTCCTTCTCCACCTCCCCATCATTGTCCTGCCCAGAAACGCTTAGCGCACCGCAGGGCGTGTTCTCAGGATGGCCCTGCGGCTCACGTGTGACGCTCTGCCTTTGGGGGGAGGCTGCTGGAACCCAGCCACCTGCAAGGCAAACTGGCTGCCCCTGGCTGTGTCAGGACCATGGGAGTGTTTGTGGAGCCGTGCTCTGCAAGGCACTGCACTGACCCGCGGTCTGGACCCCGAGTGGCCAAGCCTGCCCCTCGGCTTGTCTTGGCAAATAGAACTTGGTTGGAACATGATCACTCCCATTTGTGTACCTGTCACCTGGGGTCGCTCTCCTGCTGTGACGGCAGAGTTGAGCGGCAGCCACAGACTCCGCGTGGCCTTCAACGCCCTTTCCAGAAGGGGTTTGTGCCCCCGCCAGACTCCCGCACGTCACCCCGGTCCAGGGCTGTTGCACCGTTGTCGGGGCTCAGGGTGCCGGGGCGGGGGCTGCTCTGCACTAATTGCCGTCAAACAACCAGGGCTTGGCCTTTCCCTGGGAGGCGGTTTGTGCTGGGCACAGACGTACACACCGATGGGATTAATTCTCTGGGCCTCCTGCTTCAGTCGGATTGAGAGTTACCGTGTCCCTTTCACGCAGAGATGACCCAACCCGTCTGCCTGCCCAACTCGGAAGAGAGATTTCCGGACGGGAAGGTGTGCTGGACGTCGGGATGGGGTGCCACCGAAGATGGAGGTCAGTGGGCTGGGCCTGGAGGCCAGATCCCAGGGAGGGGCCTCCCCTGTCCCAGCATGAGGGTCCCTTGGAAAGCCCAGGCTCCCCGGCCGGGGGTGTGTGTCAGCTATGGAAACACACATCGGCCTGGTGCCTGTGGGTCACACGTCGTGGTTCCATTTGTCTCGGGACAGCGTGAAACCGCAGGCCTTCTCGTCGGGAGTCAGGCTTTCCCTGACACCCGGTGCTTCTCTTCCTCCCTGCCTGCCAGCTCGGTGTGCGGGGAGCCCGAGGGACGCCCCCAAGCTCCAGCAGTCAGGGATTTGTGACCGTGAAGAACTCTTTCCTTGCGGGACTTTGGAAGACGTGTTATTCCATCCTGCAAAGATCAAGCAGGGACAGCAACCAAATGGGCTGTGACTGCCGTGACGGTAACACGGGCAGTGACGTTAGTAATGATAGCACTGCGCTGAGGCCGGCGCCGTCCTCCGTAGCGTGGGCAAGACGCAGCCAGGACGCCTGGGTTTCCACCGTCCCTTTCTGTGTTAGCGGGAAGCGTGTCATTTAACAGTTTCCTGCGGTAACAAGCCGGGGGGATGAAAACTGGGGAGATTTATTCTCTCACAGTCCCGGAGGCCGAAGTCCGAGGTCAGGGTTTCTGCAGGGGTGGCCCCTTCTGGGCCCCCAGGGGAATCTGCTGCGGCCTCTTCCGGCGCCTGGTGGCCCGGCGACCCCTGGCTTCCCTTGGCCTGCAGACCTGTCACTGCAGCCTCAATCCCCGTCTCCACGTGGCGTCCCTGCGTCTCTGTCTCAAATCTCTGTCCCGTTTGTCTCACAAGGGCGGCTGTCACTGGACTCAGGGCCCACCCTAAATGCAGGGCGACCCCATCTTGACGTCCTTGCCTTACTCCCATCTGCAAAGACTGTCCCAGTTCAGGTGATTTCTACAGTGGCGGGAGACGTATTTTGGGGGGCCCAGAGTTCAACCCAATGCAGGAAGTTCAGTATCTCTCTCTGGAGACCCATTCGTTGAGCCTGCCCCCGTGTAAGGCTCACGGGGGCTGGGCCAGGCGTGGGCTCTTGGGGGCCAGCTTGCCCACACTCCACCAGCATCCGCGGAGGTGCCCACGCCGGCCCAGGGATTCCCAGCTCTTTGTGGCTTGAAGCTCACTCAGCCCTGTGCTACGTGGCTGGTCTGGGGCTCCCAGCTCCGTCGGCACCAGCGCCCCTGGGTTTGTGGTGGGAAGGGGAGGAGGTGCTCTGCACTCCCCTCCCTCTTGTGGTGAGGTCTCCTGAGTTCTTGCTGGAGACCACCTGCCCCGCCAGAGTAATTCTTTTTTTTTTTTTTGAGACAGAGTCTCACTCTGTTGCCCGGGCTAGAGTCCTATGGCGTCAGCCTAGCTCACAGCAACATCAAACTCCTAGGCTCAAGCGATCCTTCTGCCTCAGCCTCCCGAGTAGCTGGGACTATAGGCATGCGCCACCAGGCCTGGCTAATATAGTAGTTAGCTTTTAAAGACATAAGTAAGACAAGTAGTTACATTTTCTTTTTTTTTTTTGAGACAGAGTCTCACTTTGTTGCCCGGGATGGAGTGCTATGGCGTCAGCCTAGCTCACAGCAACATCAAACTCCCAGGCTCAAGCGATCCTCCTGCCTCAGCCTCCCGAGTAGCTGGGAGTATAGGCATGCGCCACCATGCCCGGCTAATTTTTTCTATGTATTTTTAGTTGTCCAGCTATTTTCTTTGTGTTTTTAGTAGAGATGGGGTCTTGCTCTTGCTCAGGCTGGTCTCAAACTCCAGACCTTGAGCAATCCTCCTGCCTCGGCCTCCCAAGAGTGCTAGGATTACAGGTGTGAGCCACCGTGCCTGGCCACGCCAGAGTAATTCTAACTACACTGGGCTTGGAAGAGTGGGGGGCTGGAGCCTCTTTTTCCTGGGAGGTTCAGGACCCCTCTGCAGGGTTGCTCGTCTTCCCTCTAGCCATCCGCTCTGTCCACCACGGAAGGTCCAACAAGCCCCTCTGCCGCCACGGGCTCTGTCCACGTGGCTGGCTGCAACCTCCTACCTGTGTCGGGAGCTTCTCCCACGGCGCATAGAGCTGAATGTGTCATGAAACCATGTGGCCCTCAGAGCAGCCCTGAGCAGGGGACTGTCACTGTGCTCATCTTGTGGGCGCGGAGGCGGACGAGGGAGGTGGGCGTGTCCCCTGCCGTAAGCCTGTCAAGCGTGGAGACAGCCAGGTCACAAGCCAGTTAGCTTGGGGGGTTCGCTCCCTGCAGGCCGGTGGTGAGGCCGATCCACCTCAGCTGTATCTATTCGTCTCCTGTGGCTGCTGCACAAAGGACCCCAAACTTAGTGGCTTAAAATGACACAAATTTCTCAAATGTATTAGATATGGAGGTAAGAAGCCCGAAGTCAGTCTCCATGGGTTGAAATCAAGGTGTGGGCAGGGCCGTGCTCCTTCTGGGGACTCTGGGGAGGAATCTGTTCCCGCCTTTTCCAGCTTCTAGAATCCGCCCGCACTCCCCGGCCGGGCCCGTCCTTGACCTTCCGGGCCAGAGTGCAGCATCCGCCCGCCTCCCTCTGGCGCTGGTCTCTGCTTCCGCCATCCCGTCTCCGTCGCTGGCTCCTTTAGGGACCCCTGTGGTTTCCTTGGGTCCAGCCACACTAGCCAGACCCTCTCCCCGTCTCAAAGTCTGTCCTCTGTCACACCTGGAAGTGTGAGGAGACACAGTCACAGGTCCTGGGGACTGGGACGTGGATGTCTTTGGGAGGACACTTTTCTGCTGACCACCCCGGCTCCCCCAGGACTGAGCACGTGCCTGACATGAGTCTGTTTCCCTTTGGTAGCCTGGTCGTTGTGACAGCCGAGCACGCGTGTGCAGGCCAGGCCCTGGGGAGGTGCTTTTGGCCACTGTTGCCCCCCTCCCCCTCCACTGCCACCTTAGGACAGCCTGTGGCCCTGCCACGCAGCAGAGTGGCCCACGTGGCTGCCACGAGGGGCAGAGTCCAGGGCTCGCCGTGCTGCGGACAGTCCCAGCCTGCGAGTCCCCTGCAGGGCCTGGCTGACCCCGCCCTTGCGTCCTGTCAGGTGGCACTGTGCTCGTCCCCTCGTCCCCTGGCCCCCAGCACACGCCCTCCGCACCCTGAGCTGGGTGTCCTCCTCACTGCGAGTTCCCACCCTTGCTTTCAAGCAGGTGACGCCTCCCCTGTCCTGAACCACGCGGCTGTCCCTCTGATTTCCAACAAGATCTGTAACCACAGGGAGGTGTACGGCGGCATCATCTCCCCGTCCATGCTCTGTGCGGGCTACCTGAAGGGCGGTGTAGACAGCTGCCAGGTAAGGGGCCCGCAGTGGCCTCTGGGGGCCTTTGGGGGCCACGGGGCAGGTGAGACCATGGCACGTTGACAAGTGCTCGGGACGGGCCGTTGCCAGTGTTTCCCTATGACTGGACGAAAAGTAAATTTACAGGGCGTGGGGAAGAAATTTGCTCAAGATATCAAGATATCACCCCCTTTCCTGATGGCTGGGCCAGTGTTTACCCAGCGTCCCTCAGCGGGGTGCTGGGCAGGGGAGGGGCCCTGCAGTGCCCCCTCCCGGCTCGATGCTTGGAGTTTGCAGAGGACTGCAGGGGTGGCAGGCAGGGGAGCCCGGGGATCTGGGCCTCTGAAAGCCACAGTGGGTGGGACTCCAGCACCACTCAACGCTAAGCTTCTCCCAGGGCCAGGCAGACCCCCTCCCCCCAGCCACCTGCCCTTGACCCCCAGGGGCTCAGCATCTGGAATGTGGTAGGAGACACAGCTGGAGGGACCAGCCCAGAGGGGCCAGGAGACCCCGCTTCTGGGAGTGCTGGAGTCTACAAGGCTGGTGGGCACAGAGACAGAGCCATACTTGAGCCTCAGTTTCCCTTCCGTAACCTAGGTCATTTACTGTGGTCCTGCCACCCTGACAAGCAGCCCTGCCTGTCCCCTGACTTTTGCTTCTCTCCTGTCCCAGGGGGACAGCGGGGGGCCCCTGGTGTGTCAAGAGAGGAGGGTGTGGAAGTTGGTGGGAGCGACTAGCTTTGGCATCGGCTGTGCCGAGGCGAACAAGCCTGGCGTCTACACCCGCATCACCTCCTTCCTGGACTGGATCCACGAGCAGATGGAGGTGGGTGTGGCACCCTCCCTAGCTCACGTTGTCCCTGGCACTCAGCCGCCAGCATCCTCTAAGTGTGCCCCAGTCCTGCTGTAAAGAACCAGCGAGTGATGGAGTCGTCAGGTCAGCGAGCAGCCATTTGGTGGCTCCTGGGAGTCAGACACTTGGACTGGAAAACAGATGAGAGCACAGATCATTTGCAGTGTGGGCCTGGCAGTGTGGCCCTGGGGCGTGGCCCTGGCATTCAGAGGAGCAGATGGGAAGGATGGAGGGGCCTCTCCAAGCAGGGAGAGGAGAGGTGGCCAAGGAGGAGCCCTGGGGGGACGGGACGTGTCGGGTGTGCCTCTGTGTGCGAGGAGGACAGGGTGGGCGGGGGCTGAGACAGTGGGTTGGGGGGACGGGTGGGTGAGGACCCCGCACACCTGCTGAGGAGCTGCCTGGCACGCTGGGTGGCTCTGCTGCAGGGGGTTCCCTGGAGATGGAGGGCCTGCAGGGCCCTGGTCGGTGAGGCTGGCCTGGCAGAACCGGGGCAGGCAGGAGGAAGAAGGGCCGCTGAGATCGCTGGGCGCCAGGGGAAGGGAGCGCCACGGCCGTGCGAGCCCCTGAGCCAGGGCAGAGGGGTGGAGATGGGCAGGTGGTGACGCTCAGCTTGGGAGCAGCGCGGGGCCTCGGGGAGGGAGGCCTGGCCACTGTGGGGGCCGCCAGAGGTGCCTGCGCCTTCTTGTGGGCGCTCAGCAAACACCTGCTGCCTTATCTCCAACCGAGTCCCACATCTGTCCGCGGAGCAGTGCCACACGCAGCGAGTCCTCTCTCACCGCCGCTGGCGGGTTCTTGGAAACTGTGACTTTCAGGGAATCCACGTACAGCAGGTCCTCAGAGAATGTCCTTTCTTTCAACGTAATTTCGTTATCACGTTGGAGAGAAAAAACTTCATTTCACTTTGTCATTTCCCTTAGAGTCACAGTTTCCAAGAATCTGTGGAGGACGTTCAGCGAGTCCCTGTGCCGTAGTGAGGCCACCAGCCAGACACACCCTCCCGAAGTCTCTGTTCACGCCTGGAAGAGGCTTCCCCGTCCGCGAGGGGGGCTCCGGGGGTCTGCGTTTCAGTCGTTCCCTCGAGCATCAGTGCGAGGGTTTCCGAGCAGGGAACTGTCCCATTTGTTAGCTTCTGTAGCATCTTCATCCAGCCGTTTCCTCTGTCCGGTTGGGGCTAAAACAAAACCGTTCTGACTCGAACCGGAACTCAGAACACTGTTAGGTGTTAAGGCCGGGAAGGCTCACGTGGAAGTTCTGTAACAATCTCAGGGCAGGGATGAAACGTGCGAGGCATTGCTGCTTGGGGCTTTCCCACGCCTGCCTGGGACCTGACAGAGCTGGCAGCCTCCCAGTCAGAGGCCACTTGTCCCCACCGTGGAGAACAGCCTGACGCTTCTCTCAGGGCCAAAGGCAGGTGCCCGCTCGGTCGCGGTGTTGGAGAGATGGCTGCAAGTGCTAAGGATGATAACGCCTGTGTTTTCGCTTTTAGAGGGACCTGAAAACTTGAACAGTGAGGGGACGAGCCGCCACCATGTGTTCCTGCGGTGACGGAGACAGCCCGGCCCTCCCTGGCCCCCGCGTGGGAACGTGGACGTGAGCAGATGGCCTCCGTGCTCTGCTTTCCGGCACCCTCAGCAGAGCCGAGAGCAGTGTCCCTTGTCCTCCACGCCTGGCACGGCCTGCTTCAGACGCCTCGGACCTCTCACCAGCCCCGGGTCTTGGGCTAAAATGACCTTGGAGCTCTTCTGACCTTCACTAAGAACGAAAGCAGGAGCTCCTCCCAGGTGGTACCTTGCCCGTCTGTCCCTTGGTTTTCTCCACATTCCTGGCGAGATGTTAGGGAATCTCATGTGCAGAGCAACCCTCGGCCACCCGGGAAAGACGCGGCCGGGACCGTGGGAGTGCGGTCACTGTAGATGCAGCCATCTGCACGTCTCTACCCCTGGGGACCAGGACCAAACCCACATTTTCTGCTCCCAAGATCTATTTTCACATGTGGGAAACTCAATCTATGGGTGGTTAGTTGTAAGGTGTATTATCGTTATTTCTTTGTAGCATTTGGTGCTTGACATATTATTGTCTCTTGCTTCCAAAAAATGTATGTGCTTTGGACACACCCACTGAGTGACATTTGTTACCATTTGCCGGGCTTATTTGAATGGATGCTGACTGCCTGTGTAGCCTGGAATTGTAAGCTTAATTCGGGAGGCTCCATTTCTTTGATCTCTTGTATATACATTGTGGATCTGGCATTTTTCTCTTAGAAAAGGTTTCTCAGCAGATTAGAATTAACTCACATTCTACCCAAGACTTAAGAGCTGAGTAAGAACAGACAAGGCTCTGGGCTGAGACAGGAGCACCCCTGCCCGGGGAGCACTGCGGACAAGCGGAGTAGATGCTCACAGGTGGGCAGCAGGCGAAGGCTTCCGTTCACCCACGAACCTGCAGGACTAGACGCCCCTCCCAGCTGACTACACACCTCTGTGGTTCCCAGAACCTGCATGTAACAGAGCAGTGTGACTTAGTAAGTGGTCACTGGCCGTTGTGCTTTGTCACATATTAATTCATCAGAATATGCATCAGTTGTTTTGCCTGTGGCAACAATGGACAGGACCCGTGTGTCTGAAAGAGGGAGCAGAGCCGGGTCCAGGTGCCCGGGGAGGAGCGTGGCTCCCAGGAGCTGCTCTCGGGATGCGGAGAGCCGGGATGCGGAAAGCCCAGCAAACTGGCCGCGTGGCCGCTGTATCGGGGTTCACCCTCCACAGTGGAGCCGCCCCACGGATTTCTGCGTATGTCAGAAAAGATAAGACCATCCTAAAGCATGTTTGCCCAGCTCTCTTTGAAAGCAGCGGTAGCTCCTGAATTGCAGATCCAAACTGCGAAGAGACGCAAGATTTCCCGTGTAGCCATCTCGATCGAGAAAACGTGACTGCGTGTTTCTAGCCCGCTGCGGTCTCACCCTTCTCTAACTTTCACTGGGAAATGTTTGACATCTTACAGTCTTCTCTCAGAAGGTCGCGGATAATACCGATGGCCGGCAATTAGTGACGTGTCCCGTGTGCCTGGCACCGTGCACTGCACGTCTCACTTGTTCACCAGTTTTGTTTGCACAACATACCGCGACACAGGGACTGTGGCATATTCCCGTCCTGTCCATGAGGAAACCGGGGTGTGAAAAGTTGAGCACTTTCCCAGACCACCCATCGGCCGTGGCGGAGCCGGGGTTCGGTGGGGGGGCACGCGGTGCCGCGGGAGCAGAGGCGGTCGGGGAGCGACGCTCCGGCATTTCAGTTTAACGGGCTTTGCACCAGCGGTTTGAACACATCTAAGACACAGTCGTAACTCAGAGTCCTGATTAACTTCTCCTTCCTTTAAGGAAATATTTAGTCTCAGTGGCGACATTTGCTGCTGAGCCGGAGGGTGACGGGATGGAGCTGTTGGCATCCTTTCTTGTTTTCCCTGGGCACAGCCTGGCGCCTTCCTCCCGCTCGACAGCCGGGCCGGAGTGAGAGCCAGGCGGGAAACTGCAGCCGCTCTCAGAGAAACAGCGAGAAGGTTAGAGGATGAGCAGGACATCCACCTGCACCCAGGTGTCCAGGACAGAAGTCCCTTTTTACTCTCTCTCTCCCCCCACCCCAGACTTTGATATGGATTTAACAATTTGAAAAGAATTATAGAAGACCTAACAATATTATAAAACGTTTGGAAAAAGGAGTGTTAAAAATTGGTCAACAACGTCGATGCTATAGTTGGCCAGGAAAACTGCAAACACTTGCCTCTTTCCCCTAATAGAAGGGTTTCCGGCCTGCATCTGAGGACACCTGCCAAAGTCTGTGTCCTCCGCTTGTCTGTACCTGGGGTGGCGCAGGACACACTCGGAAGGCCTGAGGCCCCCACCCTGTCGCCCATCCCTGAGACCAGTGCGGGAGCGCCCGGCAGGTGAAGCTCATGGCACGAGTGCGGTTGTACTGGCCGGCGCCAGGGTCCCAGACTCAGCCGAGTGTGTGCGGGAGCACCGTATGCGGGAGTCCTAACCGGTCGGCGGTCTCAGTGCGTAGAGCCGCGGCCTGACCTGCGCTCTGCTCTGGGTGGCTTCTTTAGATGTGCTGCTTTTCCATTCCACTCGCCTGTTCTGGGGTGCCTAGGTGGTCTGAGGTCCCTGAAATTCACGGCCCCATGGAGGGAAGTCGCCCTTTCTTCTGGGCTCCCCTAGTAGGCGTGTGTGCACGTGCACCCATGTGGCGGCGCTCAGGCGGAAGGCGCTCATCTGTGTCCGAGCCTGTCTCCTTCCGGGCTGAGCTCGTTGAGAATGGGGCTGTGTTCTGCTCACCCATGTAGCCCCCCGAAACCTGGGCGAGGAGTCAGCAGATTCACCCCGCTCCCCTCCCGGGGGGACAGGGCCATGTTCCCGCTGTTGGAGCTGAGCCTCGCGCCGGCAGTTTAAGTGACTGCTGCTTGGCAGAGTCGGGGAAGCCGGAAGGGACGGCTTGGAATTGAGGACTTAGGCTCTGTGTCCCCGCCTCTCACTCCCAGTTTTAAATTCCTTGGAGGCTGTGGTCAGGGCTTGGTGGCGTTGGAGCCTGTCAGTGGAAAGGTCTGCTGTGCCTTGCCCGGGCTCTGACAGGAGGGCGGCCAGACCGTGCAGGGGTGCGTCGGGGCGGAGGGTGCGGAGAGGCGGCGGGGGGCACGTTTTGCCATCGATGGCTCCCTTCATGGAGAGCCTGCTGCTCAGGGCAGCACCGAGTGGGAGGAGGACTCCATGGGCAGGAAGGGGCGGCTCCCTGACCGGGTTGCTAAAATCTAAGAGATTACAGGTGGCTCACAGCCTAACCTTAGACCTGTGTTTGCCTTCAGGGACAGTGTGAGAAAACGGGGCGTGGGGCCCACCAACTCTGCGGCGTGGACCGTGGGGAGCCCCCAAAGTTGAATACCCTCCTCTGCGTCTTACTCACTGACTCACTGGCCGGGGCAGAGGGGAACTCCTCTCTCTCTTTGAGAAGAGCAAAATCATTTGTGTTTAAAAATACAGTATTTTTCAATTATAAAAGATAATTATACTCATTATAGAAATATCTCCATAAATAGGGAAGCAGAATGCGGGGACAGACACAACCCCCATCTCAGCGCCCACTGACACCCCCTGTGCATTTTCTTTCTTCCCCTTTTTCCTACTGAGTGGTTTCTAACCTTTTGTATCCTGTTCTGTTCAATTTAGCACTATAGCGTGAGCATTTCCATGGTATTACAGATCCTACACAAACATGCTAGTGAGGGTTCCATAATATTTCATCATGTAGCTAAAAGAACACTTGCTCATAATTCAAATTATTGGTAATTTAGGTTGTTTACAGTGTTTCACTGTTAACTAAGATTTCTTTCGACGAACCTCTTCATGCAAAATGATTTTTCTGTGTTTAGGATTCTTTCTTTAGGGCGTCCCCAAAGTAGATTTACCGAGTCAAAGAGTGTGCTCTTCCTGAAACTCCGGACACCAAGTACCAGCTCAATTTCCAAAACCACGCTGCTGACTTCCACTTACCGTGTGTGCAGGTGCCCAGGCCCCCGAAGGATGGGCGTGTGACCTCACTGGACCCGCCGTGAGGCCAGCGCGGGCCAAGACCCCACCCAGCACCTGCAAGCCGCAGCTCTGGGTCTCCCGTTAGTGACAGTTCAGAGATAATGTTTAACGGCCCCCAGCAAGTCTAGGTATTTTCCTTCCCCAGGACATAGTCTCTCTGGCTGTGTCAGTTTCCTGTTGTAATCAAGTCCCCCACGGAGTGGCTTAAACAACAAGAATGGATTCTGTCACCGTCGGAGTTCTGGAGGCCTGGAGTCTGACGTCGCGGTGTCGGCCCAGCTCTTCCCTCTGAGGGAGAAGCTGTTCCAGGCCTCTCTCCCGGCCCGGCAGCCTCGGGTGTCTCGTGGCTTGCAGACGGCACCTCCCTGCGTCCTCACATCGCTTCCCTCTGTGCGTGTCTCTGAGTGCAAATTTCTTGTTTTTATGTGTAAACAGTCATATTGCATTGGGGTCCACCCTAATGACCTCATCTTAACTCGATCATCTGCAAAGACCCTGTTTCCAAATAAGGTCACAGTCACGGGCACAGCTGGGGGGGGGTTAGGACTTCACTACGTTTCACCGGAGCCCTGGTGAGGCTTTCTGGGGATGGCTTGAGAGGAGCTCATCACGTGCCTTTGTGGCCCTGCCTTGAGGTCCCTCCCCAAAGGGACCTGCCCTCCATTCTTCCTGAGGGACTCTGGGCCCCACATCAACTCTGCGTGACAAAGAGCTGTGTCTGGAACCACAGAACCCTGAAGGATGCTGGTGGACCCCTTTACTGAAGCGTCAGCCCTCCCAACTTTGTTTAAGTTGATAAGTAAAAATTATACATATTTGTGGTATACAACATGGTGGCTCAATACATGCAGACATTGTGAAATGGCTAAATAAAGTTATTTAACATACGCATCGCCACACATAATTATCATTTTTTGTGGTGAGAACACGTAAAATCTACTCTCTTAGCAATACTGTTAGTAACTGCAGTCTCCATGACGTGCGACAGACCTCCTGAACTTACTCCCCCGTCTCACGGAGACTCCGTCCCCTTCGCCCGGCACCCCCCATCCTGCCACCCCGCCCCTGG